CCTAAAAACGTTTTACCGCCGATAAGAAAAAATACGTGTCCCTTAGTTTTTCGTGTACTACAACATATCCCAATTGCAGAAAAATCGGCGTATGACACTTGGGTAGTGTTTTACTTGTAAGTTGTAATATTTATAAGCAAAGTATCAATATATATGTTGTATTTCGACAAAAAATATTATTATTCTTTTATTATCTCAAAAATACTTACTATAATTTTTTATACCTGTATCGTACACTTTTCTATCAACGCAACGATTTGTCAACGATTTATTAGCAGTATTGAAATTACATAAGCTGTATTTATTATAAAAACATCTTATCATCTACTAAATACATAAATTTATAACTTACATGTTCTTTAAAGTTTTAGAATTCTAATTCACAGGAAGTATTATATATGTATATATACAATGTATATATATATAATTATAACATTATATATTATACATATCTATATAATATATATATTTAATTTTTAATACATATTTGTTATGTTGTTAATTACGCGAAATTTAAATATTCTCGCGAGATAGGGCTGCGAAGTTCTCAGTTTCTCACCACTATTTTAGATCTGTAACTGTTACACGACAATTGTCCATGTCATTGCGCAGATATTTGGTATGGCAAAAAAGCTGCGCAACTAGTTAAAAAATATATTTGAAAAAAAATACAAAATTAATAATGAGAGAGAGAGAAAGAGAGAGACTTGCCAAAAGAAGTAATTTCTTGCCTTGTTGCGCGCGCGCGCGCGCACGCACACACACACACACACACACACACACACACACGCACGCACGCACGCACGCACGCACGCACGCACGCACGCACGCACACACAAAAGAACATATTTTCGAATAAAAAAATTAAATAAACTATACAAAATAATATTCTTCAAAAAAAGAAAAACAAATTGTATCGATAGTTGACGAGTTTGTGCATATTTGCAATCATGGAAAAAGAGCAATATCGGTCTGTGATTCGATTCCTGTTGTTGGATGAGAAGACACTTGTGAAGAAATTAAAAAAAAGTTGCTTTTCTTTGTAAATTTTCTGTGTAAAATTAATATTTCTCTTTTATTATTTTTGCGTTTTATAATGCCTACGCAGAACTGGCTCTTTGCGCCCTTCCTAATTATAAAAGAAAAACGGTGATATAGAGGATACCTTTATATTCCTTTTCTACTTTTTTATTATACAATAATATTGTAGGTTACTTTGATCTTATTGAACGTTATGATTCGTAATTGGCGAACAAGCCGCCAAGCCGCCATATCGTCAGTTGGATTTCTTGCACATGCGCATTGAAATTTTATACCCTGGAATTTTAACTACTGTCGTTACTGGTTATACTGTGACCACAGTCTGTGGTTTCACTTCAATTTATTGCACTGTATGCACCCGTTCGGAGAGTGCAGCAATAAAAAACAGACTTCTTCAGACGCGAAAATAATCATAACCTACCAAGAGGCTTCCCAAAACGTAAAGGCTAAACATAAATATTTAAAATGATTACTTCCATGCAAATTTAAATAAATATTTGCATAATTTACACGATATTGTTAAGTTGATTCAATAGCGAGTGTTACAGTTGAGACACA